TATAAATCATATAAATGTATATTCCTTATTTTACTGAAAAATGAGTATAATTGTACCTACAACGAGTGTAGTATCTTTATAATGGATTATGTAACGAGTTTTAGGTGTTTTTATCAAAAAATAACTATAACGAATGTACATTCGTTATAACGAATGTGCATCCCAGGACATCGCGGCCGTGACAGGCGTCGCGGACGCGCGACACTGACATGGACAGAAACCTTGCCAGACCGTCGCGGGCGTGACGACTGTCGCGGGAGTGACACACGGAGGGACAGAACCCTTGCCAGGACGTCGCAGACGCGACGGCTATCGCGGGCGCGACAATGACAGGGACAGAACCCTTTCCAGGACGTCGTGGACGTGACGACTGTCGCGGCCGTGACACTGACAGATACTTGTTCCTTTTAGAAATAGATAGATAATGAAGAATCATTATACTAGTATATTTTACATTACAAATGGCTGAAATTATACCTGTAACTAGAGTAATATCTTTATAATGTGTTATATGACGAAGATAGAATCGTTATAGTTGTATTTTATAAAAATATAACCATAACGAATGTACATTCGTTATGATGTATGAAATAACGAAGGTAGATCCGTTATGTTGAGCGATGAAATTTTTTAAAATTAACACAAGAAATCATATCAATCAAACACATCAAAGTCATAGCCAAAACAAGAGTCTTTGCTAAATCCAAATGTCGATTCCAAAACACAAACCAAATCACAGATCAAATCCACAGTGCAATAGAAGAAAGAAAACTGAAAATTATGAAGTATGGAATAGGCTGGTGCCAAGTCGATTCCAAAAACACAAACCAAATCACAAACCAAATCCTGGGAGTCTCTGTAGGGGCGCCACGGCGTGGTGAGGGCATGGACGAAGGCATTGCCGCGCCGTGGGGGTTTGCCATGGGGCGGCTTGCTTCCGTGCACGACTTTGCTTCTCGAGCTCGCTTGGACTCGTCCAAACTCGGAATTCGATTCCGTTTTTTCCTACGCATCGCCAACGAACCCCTCTATTTAATGACACTTTCATGTCTAAATTATTATTGAAGTCATATTCTTCCAAAACTCTTGACCTACACATTGAACGTGATTTGCGCATCTTCGCCTTTTGGGCCCGATCGGATTCGTCTAAGCTCGAAATTGAGTTCCGCTTTTTCCTATATGTCATCAACGAACCTTTCTACTCAACCATATTTTCCGGGTCAATTTTCGAGCTAAATCTATTCCTCACAGGGCTTCAGATCTGCACACTAAAAACAAGAAGAAAAAAAGAAGAAAATCGACAAAATACAGGAAAAACAATAAAAAAACCAAAATAGAGCAAAACACACCATAAACTGCAAAACGAACTAAAAATCAACTAAAAGACTTAAAACGGGGGAAAAATAATGACAAAACAGTAACGAAACACAAAAAAAATGGTCATAATAGATATATTCCAATTCGTTGAACATACGAATTTGTTCAACATTTCGTTCAACATACGAATTCCAATAAAGATATAACAATTTGTTCAACATACGAATTCCCAAACTACTAATCTGGATTAGCACTCGAAGCTATATTCCAATTCGTTGAACAATTTGTTAAACACGATTTTCTACCCATGAATCAATATAAAACATAAAGCTTCTTCAACAATTTCAAAATCAATCTGTCTGAGGGAGAGATTGGCTCTAATGAAACTAAAACACTAAGTTGGCAACATTGGAACTAAAAAATACGATATTATTATCATCTCTTCTACCCTTAGTGCATAAAACCAGGACTCACATGAACCTAAAGCTTAAAGCATGACCAGGAATCACTGCAAAACTTAAATCTTTACCAATAATTTCAAAATCATCACATTTAAATACAAAGAATCATGGACAATTTGCCCATCATATTGTGGCTTGAGGTGGACGCTGTGATTGTCACGGGCTCGGCACAAAGGATGAGGGGGACAGAAACCAAGACGACTACCACTATCTTATGAATGGGAGGGTAGAGTACCAAGACATAAAGGGTGGCAAGCATAGCTGGTTGAATTAGTACCCGATATACATATACGCTTATGCCTCACTTATTCTGCGAGAGGTTTTAGGAAACCTCTGGAGAAAATGTTCAATTAGGATGGCTTTGGATTGCCATTGGATTCGTGCCTCAAGACTCTGCCACTGGGACTCGGTCGGAAGAATTTAATGCGGCCATGTCTTTTCGTTTAATCATGAGAGTTAATTCAAAAGCTTTTTTCTTATCAAATGACTTTTTTTGAGCAAAAAATAACAAATTTTTTAACAATAAATATTAACAAAAGAGATGAAAATAATAACAGAGAAAATCTAATATGAGTTAGGAGAGATGCTTAAAATTCCAATAACAAAACAAATCTTGTCATTGTTCGATAAATTTTCAATCAGTACAGACATCGAAATCAAAGAACAACAATATAGAAAAATTTTATCAAATACCTTAGAGGGACAGAGCGAGAGGGCGATAGCGAGCACGGAAGTTGCTGGCTAGCGTCCGCTCAATAGTTCGATCGGTACGAGAGCGAGAGTGGAGGAATTGGGAAGTTGAATTGAATTTTATTTTTTTTATTTTTTTTTTTATTTTTTTATTTTTTTTGTTTCTGAACGTTGATGAAAATGGGGAAGGAGGAAATAAGAAGTGTAATAGAAGAGGACATGTTTGTCATTTTTATGTTCAATATTATTTTCCATTAAGTTTTATTTTAATTTTTGAGTCAAAGGTCATTTGGCCAATTTTTTGTCTTGGGAAGGCTATTTGAACTAAATACCACCCAGCAGCGCCTCAAGCTCTACAACAAAGTCCCTCCCAACGGCCTTGTCCTGTACACGGGCACTATTGTCACCGAAGAAGGGAAGGAAAAAAAAGTCACGTTCCATTTCGAGCCCTTCGCGCCATTAACTCTTCCCTCTACCTTTGCGACGACAAGTTCCACATCGAAGCCCTGAACGAGCTGTTGGAATCGGATGATAGGTTCGGTTTCATTATCATGGATGGCAATGGCACCCTCTTTGGGACATTGAGCGGCAACACCCGTGAAATCCTGCACAAGTTCACTGTCGACCTGCCTAAGAAGCACGGGCGTGGTGGCCAGTCTGCCACGCGTTTTCTCCGGTTGGGAGATGAGAAGCGCCACAACTACATGAGGAAGGCTGCTGAGCTGGCGACCCAGTTGTACATCAATGCCCAGACAAGCCAGCCCAACGTGGCGGGGCTCATCCTTGCTGGCTCGGCCGATTTCAAGACTAAGCTGAGCCAGTCGGACATATTTGACCCTCGACTGCAGGCCAAGATTCTGAATGTGGTCGACGTCGCGTACGGTGGGGAGAATGGGTTCAATCAGGCGATCGAGCTCCCAGCTGATGTTCTTTCTAATGTCAAGTTCGTTCAGGAGAAGCGCCTGATCAGGAAGTACTTTGAGGAGATTGGTCAGGACACTGGCAAATATGTTTTCGGGGTGGATGACACGATGAAGGTTCTGGAGATGGGGGCCGTCGAAACATTAATTGTCTGGGAGAATCTTGATGTGACCAGATTCGTCCTCAAGAACACCACAACCGGCGAGATTTTGATTAAGAACCTGACCAAGGACCAAGCGGCTGACCAGAAGAATTTCTGGGATGTTGGAACGAATGTTGAGCTGGAGGTGCAGGAGGATATGTTGCTGCTTGAGTGGTTTGCGAATGAGTGCCGCAAGTTTGGGTACACTCTCGAGTTTGTGACCAACAAGTCTCAGGAGGGCTCCCAGTTTTGCCGTGGGTTTGGGGGCATTGGGGGGATCCTACGCTACCAGCTGGATGTCCGGGCATTTGATGAACTTTCGGATGACGGTGAACTTCTCGAGGAATCTGAATAGCTGTCAGCCGACTTTAGTGATGCCGGTGGGGCGGGGGTGGCCACCCACCGGCGAGCGCCTGGGCTGGCGGCTGATTGGGCTAGCCCGAGGTGAAGGATTTGAGGTTTCGAAGGAAGTCTGTGTCTGGTAAAGT